AAGTATTTCCCATTTCTTTCTCTGGAAACAATAGATTTTGTGCAATATAATGTGACAGTTAGGAACAGACTTTGCATCTCAGAGAGGCTCTGCCACCTTACATTGTGACCTGGGAAAACTAATTCCTCAAAGCCTCCATGTGTGCAATGTGATTGTCACAAACGGTGACTACCTTAAAGGACTTTATGAAGATTAAACCCACAGAAGGCTACTAGTAACAAACATTATTTATTATAAGTATTAATCATAAGACATTCCCCCTTCAAGACACAACACAAACATCCTCTGAAGGCAGAGTTGGTTAGCCACTTCTTTTTCACATCCTCACAGCATTTTCTATTTCCACATCACTGAAAAATGGGTTTACATATGTATCTTCTTCACACACTGACCTTAAAGATCAGAGACCATTTTTTTCTATTTTTATGTTTTGTGTAAGTCATGAAATAGCAACACAAAGTTGCTAGACAGCACATTAAAAGATCCTGGGACTTGTCACATTGCATTTTAAGGATGCACTCAAATCAATGATAACAGGCAGACATGATGTGATACTTTGTTATCTTTGGTAAAACTATTATCACTTTTATCTCCTCACAGTGGGAGCTCTGCTATCCACTTTGTGCAGGGTTTGCTCTTAGTCAGAAAAACACTAAGGCTGGATCTATAAGAGGCAAGGATTTCCAAACAGCAGGCAAGGACCCTTGGTCCTTACTCCCACCTCAGAAAACCTCAGTGGGGACTCAATGACCTCCAACCAGGAGTCTCCAGGACCCTCTCAATCAAGCAAGAAGTAAATCTCAGGGGAGGGAAAAGAAAACTGAGACCATCTCCACAGGAATCCAGTGGTCACCCTGGCTATGGTTGGACCAATCTGTAGATCCTAATGACTGTGTGATAACTGCTGCTCCTCACATATACCCCTCACACTCCAAACTTAAAAGGAAGGAAAGTCTGGGGCCCAACACTGAAGGGGGAGGGGCATGTGAGCACTAATGACACTAGACACTTTGTTCCCAGTCAAATGATTTGCAGAGATCATTTTTTTAAAAAACTGAATTTTTTACCTGTAGAATGAAAACACTCAAAATATTCACCAAAACAAAAAAGAAACAGTAGAAGACACAGAGCTAGTAAGAAATGGGATAAACAGCCGGGTGTGGTGGTGAACGCCTGTAGTCCCAGCACTTGGGAGGCAGAGGCAGGCGGATCTCTGTGAGTTCAAGGCCAGCCTGGTCTACATAGTGAGTTCCAGGACAGCTGGGGCTACAGGGAGACCCTGCTTCAAAAAGACCAAAAAAAAAAAAAAAAAAAAAAAAAAAAAAAAAAAGAAATGGGATAAACAACAGCAGTGGCCAAGAAGAAATTTCCTAGTTGTTTTAGCATATTCCCCATAAGACTTTTACTAACATTCTCCTTATATTAACACAACCTCTTTGTGAAAAGACCAAACAAGAGCAGACTGCCTTTCTTACCCAATTCAAAGTAAGGCAAGAATTAAAGGAACTGATGGCTAGGCCCACTGTGCCTGGCCCATAGTGAGAAGCCAGGTTCTATTTCCAAGCAACTTTCTTAACCTTTTTCTTAGTAACTCTTATACAAGGGGAACACCATTTTTCTATATAGATGGTATCTAGAGGCTTTGGGGTCAAAAAAAAAGAAAATCTTTCAACATATTTTTCATGAAGGAGAAACCAGATGACAAAAAAAAAATTATACAGCTAATTTCACACTGACCAAGAAAATATTAAAGTAAAACAAAAATTAAAACTGACAACTAGTTACATCTGGCTCTCATTCAAGTGCCATACCTCCATGTGATGTTCAATTGCTTTACCAGTGATAACAACTCAAATAGCCTGCTTCAAAGTCTTTCCCTTTCTCCTCTATCTGCCCTAACACAAAGGTGAGGAGATTCTGAGTTCTCAGAAAGCTCTATGATAAACAAATATTCATGAAATGATGCTCACATCCTTTTCAACTACAAAAATAGACAACAGTAACATAAAAACAAATCACTAAAATAATCAACCTATTAGCTGGTATACAAATTAAAAAAACACAACAAAGCTCAATAATATTATTTTATATGGTTAATTTCTGCTTTAAAAATCGTGGTCCCAGGCTGGGCCAGGTGTGGAAGTACACACCTTTAATCCCAGCACTCCGGCAGAGGCAGGCAGATCTCTGTGAGATAGAGGCAAGCCTGGTCTACACAGTGAGTTCCAGGCCAGCTGAGGCTATAGGGAGACTTTGTCTCAAAATCAAACCAACAAAAAAATTGTGGTCCCAACGTTATAAAGATTAGCTAAGAAGTAACTTCTGCCTCACTTACTGTCTGGAATAATCTAATAATACAAAGAACATTACAGTTCTCAAAGCTGTGATATTTTAATATTTAATCCTCATAATAACTTTGAGATAGGGTCATGCTATGGAGCTCAGGCTGACCTTGAATTCAATATGTAGCCCTGGCTAGTTCTGAACTTGTGATCTTCTTGCCTTAGCCACCTGAGTACTCTGATTATTGGTGTATGGCACCACAGCCCAACTAACCTTCATAATATTACCTTTTAAGTCCACTGTCAAGATGGTGAACCTGGAAGTGGAAAGATAGCTCAGCCAACAAGAACACTTACTGCTCCTGCAGAGGACCCGGGTTCATTTCCGAGAACCCATGTGGCAACTCACAGTTGCCTGGAACTCCAGTTTCCAGGGAATCTAACCCCCTATTATGGCCTCTGTAAGCTCCTGCACATCTGTAATGCATACATACTCATGCAGGCTCACATACATAGACAGAAATGAAAAATAAAAAAAAAAAACCAACAGTGAAGCTGAGGCTCATAAAGACAAAATAATTTTTTTCAAAAAAGGTGGTAATTATTAGTGGCAAAACTAGGATTTGAAACCAAGCTCTGGCCATCACCCTATACTGCCTTTCACTGAAAAGAGCTACAAAAATAGCGAGCAATGCCATAATCACTCCAGAGATCAGCTGCTACATCAAAGTCTTCAGCATCAATCTCCCAGGAGCCACTCCATTTTCTAGCCATGATATACCAAGTCCTTCCCAACACTAGACTTCTATACTGTCTATTCCTCTAGCTAGAATCACTACCACTGCCACATGTGACCTTTCTGTCAACTGGCAACCATTTCTTAGCTGAAACAATATATCTACTAAGACCTTACCAGCACAGTGTGTATCCCCCATGTGATGATTCACTGTACAAGAGTGCCTATTTGCAGATCAGCCATGCCCCTCTCGACTATAAGGACCCTAAAATTTTAAGTTTGCATTGCTAAGCCTATTAAGCATTAAGCATGTAAAAAAATGTGTCTTGAAAGACATGGTATTAAATATTACATACTTTATAAAGTAATAATGCTAATATTAAGTAAATGTATTTCAGTCTAAAAATTTGTCTTGAATTGGAAACCATATGACAGAGCTGGGTACAGAAAAATTAGTGCTGTTTCTTGTTTCACAAAAATACTGGACTAGCTGGAAATAGTCTTCAAAAACTGAACATAGCCTTTTAGTACTTCCAATTTAAGAAAGTATGTTTTCCTACATCAATCTAATCTGTTAAGACAATCTGATACCTAAATGTTATTTTTTTTAAGGGAACATATTAAAGACAAGTAAAAGAGAAAAAAAAAGGCTGGAGGTGTAGCTCAGTGGTAGAGCAGGTACTCAGCATGTGCAACGCCCTGAGTCTAATTCCTACCACAAAAAATAAAGGTAATGGATAGAAGGAGGGTTCTTCTAAAATTTGAATTGTTTAGGCCACTTTGAACAAGTTGATACATGCTCATAAAAATGTGTTATGTGGGGCTGGAGAGATGGCTCAGCGGTTAAGAGCACTAACTGCTCTTGCAGAGGACCCGGGTTCAATTCCCAGCACCCACATGGCAGCTACAAACTGTCCTTAACTCCAGTTCCAGGAGAATCCGAAGCTGTCTTCTGGCTTCCACAGCATTGCACAACATGGTACACTCACACACAAGCAGGCAATACACTCATAAAATAAATAAAATATCTAAATTTTTAAAAATGTGTTATGTACAAATGATGGCACAGTTATTCTACTTAAGTTTTTTTTTTTTTTTTTTTTAAAGATTAGTGTGCACTGCACAAAAAAGGGTAAATACTGATCATATATATCAACAAGGATGGTGAGGTGGCCTGGCACGTAAAGGGGCTTGCCACCAAGTCTGACCACCTAAATTCAATCCCTGCAACCCACATGGTGGAAGAAAATAACTGATTCGTGACCTCCACATGCTGTAGCATGCCCAGCCCTCCCCCTCCCCCAAACAAATATATGTAATAAAAAATAAAAATAAAAAATGGCTAGGATGTAGTTCAATGGTAGAGTACTTCCTTGCCTGCAGCCACAAGGCCAAGGTTTAATCCCCAAGAACAAAAACAAAACAAAAGAATACCTTTGCTTTGCAATCACAGGCTTTGTCAAAGATCAAAACTAGCTGAACTTCTGATATAAACTTACAATGTGCTGGGCATGGTAGCAGACACTTTTAAACCCAGCACCTGGGAGGGCTGAGGCAGGCAGATCCGGACTACACAGTTAGTGAGACCCTGTCTCAAACCAAACCAAAACAAAAGCAAACTCTGAGTAATAACTCTCATAATGATTTCAACTAGTATTTCTCAGCCTGCAAATGCTTACCGTCCTAGCTAGGCCTTATTTAGGAATGGGGAAACCTAATCAAATGAAAAAACCTCATTTATATTCTGAGTGATCAGGAATCACTGAAAACTGCCTAATATTTGAAATTCAATCCAGCAGAACTTATTTCCCTATGATTTCTTCAGTGACCAGATCATCCCTATTCATTCTTAAAACAAATTTCACTAACATTTTCCTTTACCTTCAGGGATGAAATTCAAACAGTCTCTAAAACTCTTAAATAAAGCAAGCACCATAGAAGTGCAAAGAAAAGCCTCCCAAAAGACACTGTTTAGCCAGTACCTCTGAATGTCGCTCTACACTTCCAGTGTCGGATCCGGAGTGCTGCTCATTTGCGTCATCCTCACCGTCTGACCCTGAATCCCGCTCATCCTGTACTGGGGTGGCACCACCATCATCTGCTTAAAAACAAAACAAAAACCCACTATGGTATTAAGATGGATGATTATAATAATATTTAGGTTACAGTTAAAAATGAACACCTACAACTAAGATCAATATACTTAGCATATTAGCAAAAAGTTATTTCTACTTAAGAAGCAGAGCTAATGATGCTAAAACTCTGAACAAAATAATACTGATAAATATCAAAAGTCATTACCATGTAATGTGGCATACATAGCAGTGAAAATATTTCACAAGTACGAAGCTTAGAAATACCACTAAATGCCAAGTCAAAGACTTCTAAATATTAGTGTGTTGTTTAACTATTTCAACTTTTAGAGTCTGTCTCTCTGGGGCACCTTCTAATGCACTATGTGGCTTACCAAGTCATTTTGTTCGTCATGGACTTTTTGAGTACTGCTGACTCTCTAGGGCCCAGAATACTGCCAAGTACTTGATATACAGGAAGTGTTTGCTTATTTTTCTTTTTTTTAAGAAACATATTGCTTAGAAGATCTTTACCACAAATCTCTATTTTTTTTTAATTTATTATGTGTATGAGTGTTATTATATACCTGCATGTATGTAAGTGCGCCCATGTCATGCAATGCCCGCGGAGGACAGAAAAGGCCGTTGGATCCCCTAGAACAGGAGTTACGGACAGTTGCCATGTGGGTAATGGGATTCGAACCTGGGTCTTCTGCAAGAACAGTCAGTATTCTTAATCGCTGAGCCATCTCTCCAGCCCCAGGAAGTGCTTGCTTATGAAAGGAGCTCAAGGAACTCTAGCCCAGAAATAGTGAAAATGAAGTATATACTCTAGTGAATAAACAGTAAATGTGAACTAACTTTAACCAATACTTTAAAAATATGAAGTAAAACTATCGGAGAAATAGGGGCTGCAAGGATGGCTCAGTGGTTAAGAACACTGGTTGTTCTTGCAGAAGACCCGGGTTCAAATCCCAGCACCCACATGGCAGCTAACAACTGTCCTTAACTCCAGTCCCAGGAGATCCCACAGGCTCTTCTGACCTTCACCAGCATTGCACGAAATGGGTGCACTTACCTACCATGCAGGCAATACACACATACACATAATATAAAAACAACAAATAAAATTTTACAAAAAAAATAGTTAGGAACCTTTAGGATATAGAAGACTTGATTAGCAGTTTAAGAAAACAAAAATGAAGCTGAGTGTGGTATATAAACTTGACTAAGCATGCAGGGTCTGGTGTCCCTTGCCTTTGAGTCCAGTACTCAGGAGGCAGAGGCAGGCAAATCTCTGTGAGATAGAGGCAAGTTGGGTCTCCACAGCAAGTTCCAGGCCAGCTGGGCCTACAGAAGTCAAAGAGTTGTATAAGAGTGGAATCACTTTCATACTAATGAACTATCCTACTCATCTAAGAAGTTTATATAGTTACAATAAATAATTAGCTTTGAAGTTTAACAATTGTGTTGCAATAGTGGGATGACAGGAGAGAAGAGGGCACACTGGGGTTAAACTTACTGTCCTGAACAGGAAGCATTATGGAATGGCAGAAAATTATGTTAACACACAAGATAGCATAGATTAGGAATACAGACATAAACATCAAAAGGATAGTGACAAAAATGGAGTGTTATCTTTTTATTACCTCAATTTTTGTTCTCTTAACACAGCCTACACACTGTATTACACAGATGCACTCTTTTTGAAAATAATTCTAAACCACAAATGAAATTAAAACTATTTTGAAAAAAAAAGGAAAAACATTTTAAGCAAAACCGTAGTAGAGGCTCAACATACAGGTTCCGAAATCACCACTGCTTACTGTCATAAGGAATCGAAGTGAACTCAAAACAGAAGAGCTTAATGCTTAGCCATCTACTAAGGTACTCTGGATACACAAAGTCCAAATGCAACTAGCACACAAAAGGGAGAGCAAGTCACCTGTTTTCACCCACCCAGGCCCTGCCTGCAAATCTCTGTGTCCCGTGTAGAGCCCATGGGGTGAAGGAAAGACACATTAAGTGATGAGGACTAGCTCCTTGCTTTTACAACACGTACGCAAATGCAAAGACCCTGCGCTGTCGGTGTTACAGGCGAAATCAAACTCTTCCTACCCGGGAAGGACTAGTCTAGGAAGAATCCCGTTCCCCACTGAACAAGTTTCTTAGGATTCTGGAAAACTCAACTCCTGACAATTTCCTTGACAGATCTGTTCTTCCTCAGCAGATCCAAGTGCCCCACGCCCCCCATTTGAGCAAACTCCCTTCCGGGATCCGGAAGACCAGTCCCAGGAGCGCTACCGCTCCAAGGTTCTACGCCGGCCGGGGACTGTCTTCCCGCGTCGCGTGCGGTCCACGCAGAGCAGCCGCTCCACTCCCGGCCTCTCCGTGGCTCCCGCCCCACCCACCTGTCACTGCTGCGGCACCCCCAAATCCGCCCGAGGCCAGCCCCAGCCCCAACCCACCTGACTGGTCACCGCCATAGTACTCCAAGTCCATGGCAGGCGGGCTCTGGGCGGGGAGTGGCCGCGCCGCGCGCCGCCCTCGTCACGTCCTTCCTGGCGGAGTGACCCCTCGACGGCGCGGCCCGCTGCTCCTGAGGCTCCCGCCTCGCTCGACGGCCCGAAGAAGAACGCGGGGAGACGGCAGAGGAAGACTCTTCGACCTGGAAGACCCAGCTTCCAGAAAAAGCAGTGCCTCAGTAGCCGGTAAGGGTGGAGAGCCGCGCTCTACTTCCCAGAAGCACCTCTAGGGCCAAAATGGCGTCTGCCCACGACCCTCAAAAGAAAGCAGTGCGCAGGCGCTGTCATCCTTCAATCGGCCAATCAAAAGACAGTTAGGTAAAGTGACGCCGAGACAGGGCCGGCAAGGAGAGTACTGGGAAAGTTGAGCAGGAGCAGCGGCTTCGGTTAAATACCGTCCTCGGAACGAGTTGGGTCTATCGTTTCTAGAGGTAATGTTATTTGCTTGGTTCTGTGTTAGAGCTTTCTTTGGTAAGTACTTTAGTTTTTACGAAAAATGAAAACCTGCTAAAATTGCATTTTATGTCATTCGTCCAAGTATACTCCCAGTCTTGTAACCAGGTACTTCCCGCCCTTACTACGGAGAGGAAGTAGCGCCTTGATCTCTGGGATTTGTAGTTCAAAACCTAGGGACCCATGCATAACTAACTGGATCAAAGGCATCTTTTCTTGCATGCTCAAGATCTCAGGTTGGATACCTACACCAGGAAAGTTAAAAATAAAATAATAAAACAAGATGAACTCTCTTTACAAAGTACTTTTATTTCCTTTCTTTACAAAAAATTTCCAATTAAAGGACCCTATGGTCAACAATAATAGAGATCTTTGCCTCAAGAAAGATCCCCTGATAAAACATTGAAGAGGGAGCAGGTCTGCAATCCCAGTTATCAGGAGGTGGAAGAGGACTGTAGGTAGTTAGTACCTACCTGAGCTATAGAATGACTTCAGCTGCCCTGTGCAATGTAAGATTCTGTTATCACAAGGGTGGGCATGTTGGCACACAACTTTAATCCTAGCATTCTGGAGGCAGAGGCAGGTGGTTCTCTGTGAGTTCCAGGCCAGCCTGGACTACATATCGAGTTCCAGGCCAGCTAGACCTACATATTGAAACTCTTTCTCAAAAAAAACAAAAACAAAAACATCACATAATTTTAAAATGTGTAGAGCACTTGCCTAGCATGCGTGAGATCCCAGGTTCAAAACCCAATAGGAGTGGAAGGACCTTGAGGAGCATAACTTTGAACTTTACAAGTTCTATACCCCAGAAAACAGACTGATTAAGAAACAGAACGATTAAGAAACTGTTACCTTAGCATTAAAGGCCCATTAAGGAAAAGTTGTTGCCTCCTAGCAAAGCAAATGGAATCTGGATGAAGACATTGTCTCCTTTAAGAGTTAATCTAGTTGGGCTGGCCAATCACCTGGCCATGGGACTACACCCTTGGAAGGCAGATCCACCTGAAACTATGCTAAGGAAAGAGGAGAAACAATTATTTCTTTAATGAGATAATGTACTTTTCCTTTCCAGAACTCCCACCCCTGGTGAAGTCTTTTAAAAAGCTGCAAAAATAAATCTGTAAGTAAGTCCATAGTCTGCCCACTTTTCTGAATTACTCGGAGAAGTGTAACTCAGAAAAGTGTAACTTTTCTTTTTCTTCTATCATTTTTCTTTTCGGGGGGTTGGTTTGAGAAAGCGTCTCCCTGTAGACCCAGCTGACTTGGAACTCACTATGTAGACCAGACTGGTCTGGATCTCACAGAGTGCTGGGATTAAAGGTGTTTTCCCCCATACACATGCGAAGCCTCTCTTCTTTTCTAACCATGCTTTCCTTGACACTTTGGACTTGCTTATTCCTTCTCTAAAGCTCCCCTCCCTGTCATGCAGCTGCTTGCCCACCATGTGTCTGACTTTCATGTGGGCTTAATTCAAACAGCAAAGCTTTTTTTTTTTTCCTTCTCCATTCTTCATAAGGGAGATGCTGAGATTTACAGCTTGCCTGCTCTGTTTTTTCTTTTTTTTTAACTCTAATAAAATTTGTCTTCAAACTTCCATTTGAGTTTATTCTTAAATTCCTTAATAAACCAGACTAAAAATCTCAAGTGGGAACCCTGATTTCCTGAGTATCATGTGATAACCCTGTTGGAACTGTCCAAAATTTCTGGTAACAAAACCTCACCCATTAGTGTTCCTAGGATAGCTCACTATAAAGAACTACTCTTTTCCATATGGCTTAGATAAAACTCCTACAGATAGTTGTTTACCCATGATGGGGCCAGACAAACACCTTTCCCCCTTTGCCTGAAACCTATTGAAAAGGCCAGGAACAGACCTCTACATTCCCATGGATTGTCTCAAGAGTGATTCATACCCTACCACCTCCATTTCTCCCCAAACTAGCTACACATAAACATTCTGTGTTCACCTGAAAAATCTCTCCCAATTGCTAAATAATCCCAACTATCATCATCCTACTTTTCTCCCTCAAAAGCCTAAGCCAAAGCCACCATGCTAGCCAGGTGCAGTGGCACATACCATTAGTCCTGACACTAGGGAGGCAGAGGCAGGGGGATCTCTCTGAGATCCAGGCCAGCCTGGTCTACATAACAAGTTCCAGGCCAGCTAGGGCTACAGGGAGACACTCTCAAAAATGCAAAAAAAAAAAAAAAAAAAAAAAAAAAAAAAAACAAGCAAAAATTCCCTGCTAGTCATAGGATGACCAGACAGGAGAATTATGAGTTCAGAGTCAGCCTGGGCTACAAAAAAAAAAAAAAGCCTTGAAAATCTTAAAGGAATAGAAACAGAGTTCCCCTCAGTGTCCACCTGGCTCCGGGTTTTCAGAGAAGAGAAAAGAAGCACGGTCATTGATATAGAAAGAGGAAATCCTAGAGAAAAGAGATTAACACACCTTCAGGGTCACTGGGAAGTACAATGCTATCTGGAGCACACACACAGACGCACGCACGCACACACACTCCATACTTAGTTCATGGAGAGCAGCCTGAAGGATATATCAATCAAGCCCTTTCACTGACATTTAACCAAGGTTTCCTGGGGGAAGGTCTAACTGGTCAGTTTACAGAATGCAGTCTGTACTATTAGAGCTGTTATGGTCAGAACCTGGGCCCTGGAAGCCCTAACAAACCAAGCTCCACCACTCATCCTCAGTAGGCCAATTAAAGAGACAGAGTAATAGAGAAAAGCAGAGAGAAGAGATTTATTTCTTCAATGTGGCCACATTGGGAAGAGGAACAAAGAGCCCAGTGATTCCCTGTCCCCAAATCCATCTTTGGGGTCCTAACATGAGATTTAGGTTTAAACAGAAGACAAAAGCAGTCCTGGTCAAAGTGTGGTCCTGACCACCACCATTGTCTTGGCTCCATTCTTTCCTGCAAGGTAGTCTGACAAGTTGTCAGTTCTGTATGAAATCTCTTTTGTAGAGAAAAACTCACCCTCTGGCTGGCACCAGGCTTCAGCCTTTTCCTTCTCTCAGCACAAGATTCCTGAGAAAATTCCAGTTTCTTGGGATTCATTATTTCAGTAATCTGACAGCCAAAGGGAGGGGCACAAGTGTCTCTTTAGAACATCTTCGTTCCTGCCAGCTCCACTATATGTGGGTTTATACTGCAGTTCTTATGAGATGGAGCAAGGCAAGTACATTGGCTCCACCCATCCTATGGACAGGTGTCACCAGGAAGTTGGTGCATAAGGTGAATGTCTGAATTGATCACATTAAGATTCAGGAGGAGGAGGTAAAGAACTAAAGACTGTGTCAAGGGCAGTTAAGCCTTGTTTCTTGTGTGAGACATTTCCAATTTGTGTTCAAAATGGATGTGAAGTCAACAAAATGATGTGAAATTTACTATATTATGAATCAAACACTACAAGGAGCCTATAACCTCCATGGAAATATGTAAAATTGTGTGTTTCTGATTTTTCCTCCTTAAGGAAAAAAATCATAGCTTTTTACTATTTTTATAGTAAATAAAAGGTTAAAAGTTGAAAGGTTAGGGCTGGAGAGTTGGCTCAGAGGTTAAGAGCACTGACTGCTCTTGCAGAAGACCTGGGTTCAATTTCCAGCACCTATGTGGTGGCTAACAACCATCCTAACTCCAGTTCCATGGGATCTGATGCCCTCTTTTGACCTCCTGGGGCATTGGATGACACAGGTGCACTTACACATGCAGACAATACACTCATACACATAAAATAAAAAGTTAAAAGGTTAAAGTGTTAAAAAATTATCCTTTATGCAAATGAATTTGGTGCTTGTAAATATATCAAGCTCACAAACAACTGATAGTTTGTTTCTATTGTTAGTAATAAAACCACCCTACCAAGACACTCTGATCATATATCCACATTACAATAACTCAAATAAAAATAAACTTCATTTCAGGATTGGACAAGGAGAATTTTCTTGCCTTTTGTTTGGAGGAGGACTAGAGGGGATATAAAGAAAGATCCTGCAGGAAGCATGGTCTTTTGTTAAAGTTTATGATGGTTAATACTGTCAGCTTGACAGTAACCTGGAGGGCAGACTTCTGGCCATGCCTATGAGGGAGTTTCTAGACTGAGTTAATTATGGTGGGAAGACCCAACCTAAATGTTGGTGGCACCATCCCATAGGGGTCTTGAAATGAACACAAAGGAAAAAACTAGATGAGAACCAGCATTCATCCCTCTCTCTTTCCTGAGGATGGGTGCACTATGTCTGTCTGCCTTGCCTTCCTGCTTCCATGACTTCTTTGCAATGATGAACTGGCCCCTCAAATTTTGAGCCAAAATAAACCCTTCCTTTAGATTGCTTCTTGTAAGATATTTTACTACAACCACAAGAAAAGTAACAACAACCTCCACTCCTAAGGCTCAGCGAACGTCTCTGAAGATGAGGTGGAAAGATGGTAAAAGCCAGAGGGACAGGACACTGCTGCTAGTTAATGCGTGCTAGACAAGATAGGGGAGCTACACCCATGAAGTCTCCACAGTATGGTAGTCTAACAAGATCTGCATAATGACAATACTAGTTGACATGCCAATTGGGATGGGTAAGATTTCATGGGGTCTCACCAAGATGAAGAGCTACAGGCAATCAGTGGATGCTGAGTTTTCTCCAGGGATTAGATCCCTGAGAGGTTATCTAATTCTAAGTGGGCAACCCTAAACACAGGTACACATGAGCACCACTAAATGGGCTAGGTGCTTTATATATAGAGTCAAAGAAGAAGACAAAAAAATCATGAGGGAGAGTAGGGAGGGTTATACAG